TATCTTAATTTTGGTCTTTTCTAAAGCAATTAAAAAAAAGTTGAATTATTAGGTCTCATTATTAGTGCTCTGCGGCCTTTTCTCAATGACACACTTTGCTGGGAACTATAATAAGTAAATTACTGTGCTGCTGACCTACCACATTTAATATAAATGGTGCTGGCAGCCACATGCAGTAAACATCCACTCTGAAGTTACTGGCTGGGTTCCTAAGTGCTTGGCCATGTTGGGCTTTAGAATTTATCTTTGTAGGCAGATGATTTAGCACACACCATTCCTAATACAGAAGTAATCGCTTTCTTCAGCAGTTCAAGACGTTTATTTGAATCTAAATTTAAAGTGTACTTGAAACATGACATATCCACTACATCATGGTGGATATATTAGACATAAATCTCCTTTAACCTGCTGCCATCAGTCAAGCTCTTATGTCACCACTAGAGGGAAGCAGTGCGCAGTGATTGGGACATGCTGCGTCTGAGTGTACATCATTACTGTCTGTACATACTAAAGCATGTATCATTTATATTTTATATGCTGTTTCATGGAAATTTGTTCCTGTGCCATATTTTGTATATGGTGAAACAAATGTTCAAATATCAGATCCTTGCTTTCACTAAACTTAATATATATATATATATGTATAATCAAATCTGTCTACCATGTTTTATAGGGCAATAGAGTTCTGTAAATAAATATAATGAGCCAAAGAGGGAAATATTAGCAAAATATAGTTTCTACTGGAGGAGAAGACAGCCAAGAGACAACACACATCACAGCCCTCTCCTCTTCTTCCTCAGCCATCCAGTGATACTGCTTCTTGCTCTACTAGTGGGCTGACAGGAGGACCAATCATATCAGATGTTACTGACATGTCTCAGGCCAGCATGGCCCTCCAGATGCAGCCTGATGAGACCAGGTGAGTGATGCAACATAACACACTATTTCCCATGATATAAGTCTACCTCTACATCTACTGCAGCATGTCACAAAGAGTATTCAGAGTAGTGCGCAGTAAGTGTAATGAGGCCGTTGGTGTTCATGCATCAAACTGATCGCAGGCTTAATAGAGACAAGAGTGACAGAACATGGCAAAGTGAGCAAAGCTTTAATGTTTTCCTGGCCAACCTTATGCTCCTGGTGGTTAGCGCCACTCTTGACTCGGTGTTTGACTCTACCAACAGGGAGAAGTGCATGATGCTTATTAAAGAGGAGCCTGTGAGTCCAGGAGTGAGAGGAGGAGGGAAAGGAGGCGGCGGGGTAGGGGGAGGAGAGGCCGTGGCGTTGACCTCCTCATGTGAGGTGTGCTCCTCGGAACCTCCTGTCCTCCCAGTTGCAATGGTCCAGTCTGTTCTGGAGGGGAGAGGCTCTGTGGCCTCTATGGTGGAGAGGAGGAGTAAGAGACCTGCCCTTGACAGGTAGGTACAAACACAGGTGGACACACAAACACACACACACACAAACAGAGAAGGCAATGTACACAATTGTTTGCACAGACACATAACTGCACACTGAGCAAGCAGTGAGCAAGTGACCCTGGGTGTCTGTGTTTATGTATTATATATTACTCTGTGTGTACAGAGTGGAGGTTTCAGACGCAGTGGAGAACGTGGATATGAGCCTGGAGGAGCTTCAGCAGCTGCTGCTCAGGAGCCATCAGCAGAGTACTGTGGAAGCTGGGACCAGCGCTGTAATGGATGTCAGTAGATCTCAACTGTACATATAGAAACACACTGACAGACAACCGGCACATAGACTCACATATGTCTCATATTTGACATTTCAAACTGGTAGTTGTGTCTGTCACTGCATATAGAGCACACAGTGGCCATTGAGTTGAACAATGCCTTCATACTGGCCTGCATCAATACATTCTCTCTCTCTCTCTCTCTCTCTCTCTCTCTCTCTCGTAGCCCTTCAGTTTAAGCCTGCCTCTGACTGAGTGGAACTTTACAGAGATGGAGTCCAACCTCAAATCAGTAAGTCATATGGTGTGACAACTGTACAAGCTTGGAGGAGGATGATATGATTTCCTACTCAGCAGTAACCTGCTCCTTTAATCATGATGTCAGCTTCTCTACTTAACTTAGTTGTCATCCCAAGATGTATAAATGATGCACCCTTATGTATTACATTGCTCATTGTAACAACAATATCAAGTTAGGGGCTATATTAAACGTATTGTCTTTAAACCTGCAAGGTGTTGTGAACACAGAATTTGAATGACTTTATAAAGTTGATCTGGTGAACATGTTAGCTAACACTTGCATATTCAAACATCCAGTCAACACTGAGCAAAATTAGCATTCATTTGGAATTTTGTTTGTGTCGTCCTGGCAAATGTAATTCAATTACTTCTTTTGCTTTACCATGTTGGCCAGCTAGGCGCTAACTTTGTGCCTAGCAGGTAGGGCACAGTGGAAGTTTTTGCTGAAGACAGCTGCCTGCTGCCTCTGGAAGTGCAGCTAATGAGAGCTGAGAGACTGAATTAAAACAGAAAGGTTGCGGGCCATAAAACCAAAACAGTGAGCCGGAAGATGCTAAAAATCTCTGTAGAGCTGAGGGGAACTGCACAGATGGGTAATACTTCTCTGTGGGTTTGTCACTACGAGTGACCCCTTTCTCATTACACATTTGATCCATTGTTAGAATATGATATTGATTAAAGCAGCATCAACATTCAACTCTGCTCTTCTTCTTGGATAGCCACTTCATATCACCTGCTATCCCACAGTTGCCTGAGAAATAATTTACTCATGCCCTATATCAAATGTGACATCTCTCCACACCACACCATGGCTGGTGGGTCTTCACCTATTCTGGCCGTCCAGAGCAAAAATAGCACTGTGCTAAAAACAACTCATGGGGCTGCATTGGTGTGGACAGGACACTTTGCTGCAGGTCCAGCTTGAGTAGCAGATCTGAGAGTGTGAAGGATTATCAACATAGCACACTATTAATAGACATAGTTATCATGGCAGCAAGTCATTTATTCATAGTTTCGACAACTGTGAAGTAATCAGAATTAAAACATTAACTTTACGAAGTAATCCGTGATGTGTGCTTGCACACATTTGATTGGCTAGCGCAGTGTTGGACCACATGGTCATGTTTTGTCAGAGCCCTGTGCGTCGGGACACCCGTTGTGCCAACGCAGTGGTGTTATTGAAATGAATGAGGACGCTGCGGTTTTGGATGCAGTGGTAATGTCGGTCCGAGCACAGCCATAGGCCATCAACAAAAAGGCCTGTCTGATCCACTGATTGTATCGATACAGTGTGGTTTAGTATGTAAATGTTTCCCTCCAAACTAGAATAGTGATTCTACACACAGCACAAAAAGTTCTGAAGCTAAGGTTGAAGGACAAATTGTCTAATGTGACTCTCAGATTCAGGATCCAGTACAATACAAATAGGGCCAATGCTGAAGATTCTGGCCCCCACCCTCCTCTTCACAGTTTGTACCTCAATGCAGAGCACCCACTGCTAAACCTCTATGCTAGTGATCAATAATGTCACTGAAGTTTAATTTTCTGGCTGCAGCTTACATTGAATAGACAGGATGGTGCGGCTGTTAAATCTGTCTTGTCACACTGGCTGTGGAGCTTAGTCTTTAATGCGACTCACCTTGTGAAGAGCTCTATACCCACCAGCAGGATGCTGCTGCAGGAAGAGGGCTAAACGGCCTAATAGTAAACAGTATCTTTCCAAAAAGGCTTTGCATCTGCATTTTAAAAACTGCATTTACCAGCTGAAGTGGAGCAAAATTACATGGGAAATTGGTGCAATGAAATGATGAATGGTTTTAAATCATTGCCTACTTGTTTGCCCCATGTTAGAAATTGTTCCTCATCAGTGAACCTGAGTGTCAAACAGTAGCTAGTTCCTTAAATGACTCCTGCTGTTCTGTAATGTCCAAATCACTGATTATGCTGTTGCAACATAAAACACTGTGTTGCAAAAGACAACTGATGCACTCTCTTGAACTCATCCCAAGACATATCATCATGATGTTTTCTTTTCCTGTGATTGCTCGTGTATTGTGAAATTGAGGTGCAACACTGGTCTCATTTGTCACTAGAGTGGCTTCTTTATAAAGACAAATATATGTTCATTGGAGGATATTTCTGTCAATGCACTGCAATACTTTCAGCAACAACTGTAAGGAGGATAAATACATTGAAAGACATGAAGTACATCCGTGGAATAATTGTGTCTGGTCTTGCACCACTTGTTTGATTGCAAGAGGAGATGATGCTGTTTATGAGGTCATTAACAGGAGACAAATGGTTGGAGTCGCCTGAGCGGCAGTAAAGAAAACACCCAGTTCGTCTTCAGGAGAGGCGATCGCTGGGACTCAAAAGATTGTATCATTGATTCAAATAGAAAAAGAAGAACGAACAAAATGGAATAAGACATTAGACAAAAGACAAGATGTGGTTTTACGTTCTGGAACTATAAGTGCGTTTCCATCCACCTGTTTTTATGCAAGTATAAAAAACGCTAAATTCGAAAAGTCAGAATATTATAAAATATTTGAAAAAACTAAATATAGATAAAAGCAAATGTAAGCACAATGAAAACAGACTTGGTGAATAAATCATGACGTATGTGAAGCATAGCATGTGACTGAATGTCTACTGAAAAATAGTGACACCAGATGTATGGAGCGACAAAGAGATTGTAACCTTCCACACATTTATACATGAAACAAACATAAATGCCATGTTTCCATCATGTGTTCCACTTAATCTTTCTTAATTTGAGGTTTGACTGCCACTCTTCTTCTGAAATGGTTTAATGGCACCCGACTAGAGAAATTGTGCCATCAACTGTTAATCTCAATGAACTTACTTTTAATATTCAACATAACAGTAGTGGATGCATTAATTCAGGTTTTCTTTTGCCAATTTTCCAGAAATTGTTTAACATTATAATAAATTTGAATGGAAAGTTGGCCCGACCACTGATCGCCAAGAAATGGTTCCAGCACATACCGGTTACTCCTCATAAAACCAAAACATTTTTACAGCGTATGAATTAAACATGGCTGAGGCTTATCGCAGGCACATGTTGTTGTTTTTTTACCTCAAACAGAGCCATGCTAGCTGTTTCTCCCTATTTACAGTCTTTATGCCAAACTAAGTTAACTGGCTCCTGGCTCCACAGATCTCAGATCTCATCTAACTGTTGGCAAGACAGGGAATATTAGTACCTTTAAGGATATGAGAGGCGCAAGGTAAATAAGCTTAATTATTTACCAATGATCTAATAAGGGATCCTATGCAATGCTTTATTGTTTAACTAATAAGACTTGTCAGGTTGTGAAAAACCTCTCTTGCTGGTGAGTCATTAATGTAGTATAATAGTTTTTATAAATGACTAAAATTTGCTCACATTCTAATCAAGCAGCAACCTCTGTGGCTGGCAAATTAAGCCAACATGGAAGTAACTGCAGTAAACTGTAATTCCTTGAACGACTGGCAACTTGAGGCTGGTTCTAAAAGTGAATCTCCTTAAGGCCCCATATTAAAATGCCCAAGAAATAAACATGTTTACAGCCTGGTACATAAATGGGTTTGGTGTCTATAGCTAATTTCCCTGTGCAGTTGTCATGCACAGGGGGGTGAATATTTATATAACTCACCCATTTAAATTATATTAAGGCTCAAAATTATGTATAATTAAGGGCATGGCCGCTTTGAGTGACAGGTGGGTGTTTTCGGTAACCAGACTTCATTCTTCCAGCCTCAGCTCCACCCACACTACCAGCTCTTTGCCCATTTTTGGATTAGCCAGGACGGAGTCAGGATGGTGACAGGAACCAACAACTCAGAGCTTCACAACTATTCTTCACACCCTATTGGTGACATCACACAGATACAATTCATTTTTAATTATACAGTCTATGGTGCTAATTGGTGCTAAGGCACTGCTGTTATCAATGTTATAAGTTGATATTAAAGGCCATGATTTTCTTACTTTCAAACAAGTCTGCAGTTTTAAACATTTGTATGTAATAGTTGACCTTTTCAAACCTTTTCCAGAAGGTAAGGGATCCATCACTGTGTGGTGAACTGTGAAGCTAAAATGACAAAGCAAGTGTCCTGCTGGTGGAGAATAAAAACCAGCCACAGATATGTATTACAACCTAACAAAACCCCAAAAGCTCTCAATAATGGCGTATAGGTCCTTAATAGAACATTAGTGTATATAAAATGTATTAGAATGCCATTAGTGGCACTCCCTGCAATATATTATGCCCTTGCTCTACCCTGGTCATGTAATGTACAGTTCTTGATTCTCGATTCTACTGTCTGCTTTTTCATGAAAGTTTTAAAATCCCCCAATTTTTTCATCCATCTCTCATTCATCCCTCTCTTCACCATAGTGCGCAGATCTTAGAAGCTGTTTTTAGAGTCTTCCTTCCACACATTTTATCGAGCTCATTCTGGTGTCAGAGCTGAAAAAATAACAAACTCTTCCATTTTATGTCTCATTTTTTTGTGAGGGCTTCTGTAACAGTGGATCAGTGGATAACATATCAACAGCTCTTTCATACCTAGATAAAAACATCATTTACATCCATCATCCAGCTGTATCCTTCTAAAAGGCAGATTTCTTGATGCTTAGTGTAATATCTCATCTATCTCATATTCTCCTCTGTTTGGTTTTGTTTGTGCAGCTGACAGTCAATACTACTCCCAGTAATTAGAGAGTGCTGCAGCTTTTTTCCACTTCCAGTCACAGTCTGTGTGCCATGTTCTGGTAATTCATCATACGTTCTGTGCCATTTACACAAAAACACTCTGTAACCATCTTTATAAGCCTCTGCACTACTTGAAGATCATTTTTTGCTCATGAGGGAAAATCTGATATGGGTGGTAACACAATGCATTTGTGCTTTTACTGAAAATATTCCAGCCCCATTCCATCTTCTTCCTTCCTTTGGCTGACTTTATAGCCTAGGTCAACAGAGAAATCACAATATTCCTCTTTTTCTTCCTCGTGTTACCTGCTTGTGCCCTTCCTCTCATTCTCCTTATCCTCAGCTGCTTCATTACTGCTGCTGTTTTTCTTCCACCTTGTCTTCCTAGGCTACACTTCCTTCAGAGACACCAGGCACTGCAGAACAAATGTTGGCAAATTGATGTAGCTTAACGGAAGCACTTAAATGCCAGAGGATGTGGTGGTTAAAAGAAAGGAGAATTTGTGTTAATGTGCTTTTAGAAACTAGCCATCTGGTCTTTATTGGTTTTGATCACCCATGGCCATATAGCCAGATAACCACAACCAGGGCTCACCTCCTGTATAAGCAACAGGTGCTGTACCAGGGTCAGGTGTTGAAATAGATATTTCTGGTGCATGTGTTGGCAGCACCGCTTGAAGAACAGATATACAACATATAAACAGAATAGGCACACATGTTCTATTATTTGTTATAAAATGAAGGGTTAGAGGTTAAGGTACTATGTGTGTGTTTTACTCCACAGTACATGTTCCAGAACCAGGAAGCGGAGGCTTTTCCAGCTGCTGGCTGTGAGGAACAGTGATCAATCTGTGCTGCGGACTGTCCTTTCTGAAGTGGAAGGTAACAATCCTGTGACTTAATCTGTCAACAGCTGGAGGACAGACTAATATTACAGTACTATGTCATAAAAGGAGGATTATATATTAAAAATCCTATGAAACGTCTGTCTTTAAATACTTAAATACTCCAACTTCCCCACCAGTCGGTTAGTTCATACTAAAAACATAGATCTTTAAAAAACGGGTCATGAATAAATACTTTCTGTAAATATATCCCAACACAGCAGGGAACTGTAGTTTTTAGTGTTTGTTACTCAAACTGGATTAAAATATGCATTTGTTGGGGACTAGTTTCAGCTGTGGATTAATACATATTTGGTGCACTAATGAGTATTTCCAGTGGCAGAACAGAGTATGTGGCTCATTGGTGTGTTTGTGTTTGTTTTTGGACAACAATGGATCTAATTTGTTGATGATAAGAAGACTATAGAATGTCAACTGAGCTTTAAAATAGAAATACCAGATAAATATGTGTCAAACACCATCTGTATAAGCAACTACCAGCTTATTTCCAGAAAAACGGTGTAGTAAAACTGCTTTTCAGAAACTGCACATACTGTACTTTAGCACAATAATGGCATTGCCATGGTAACAAGCAAACATTTTGCAGGTGCAGTGTGAAGAATTGTACAAGTAGACATATGGCAGGTCTACAATTTTTATATAATAATACTTAATGAGCATTAAAAGGGTATGTTATCATTGATAAGTCCATCTCAATACAATACTCATATGCCATATGTATGTTGAGAGAGTTGTTGGTCGTAGTGAGCATTCCTTCTGTCCATACTGGCCATTAAGTGATCCCTTCCTAACTTGAGAACACTGTAAAAAAAAAAAGGAACAAAATCCACAGCCATCGTTCTAGACAAGAAGCTAATATGAGGCTTTGATCTGAGTTAGACAAATCTGTATTTTTTAAGCCTTTTTTATGTGAAATGAACCCTTTGTGCCCACAATTTACTACACTGAGCGCTCTAAATGCTGTTGCATGCACACATGATACAACTCATTCCCACATTTGGATCAATTTGTGTACATGAGATAAATACAGAGAACAAGCCTTGAGCCGCAGAGGCATGAAGTGCAATGCACCTGCATCAAGTGTTATGCAAGGCATCTTTGTGCACCCACATATTCTTACATGCAGATCCAGCGAGCTACAGAGTGCACCAACTCTACACTGACAACTGAGGACTAAACTATAAAATCAGTCTTAAACTGGCATTGATTTCTTTAGTCTACATTAAATGCATAGGTAGGCCATCAACACTCGGCCACGGTACGTCTTAATCCAAGTTTACCCACTATGCGTAAAGACGCACACAACTCCGTCAACAACACTGTTAGCTATCCCCTATATAATGTGAGAATGAGCTATGTGCCAACTGTTTAAATAGTATATGTTATCAAAAACAGTCAGTGACTCTTGTCATTGTCTATATTCGGTATAAACTGATTGTCCAGTTGGTCTGCCTCGTTACACAGAGTGGGCAGACTGTGTGTTAATAACCTGTGTATCATTTTCGGTGAAGACTTTTGGCAGCTCACTGCCATCAATAAGTAAAATACTGTGGATGGATGCATACAACAGGAGTGCAGTGGCCTAATATCATTATTTTCACTCACTTTAACTCAAAGGGTTAGGCAGGTTAGGTTTGATACGTCACCCTTGCATTTGATGTTTTAATTGTACCAAGAAATGATTGCGCAAATCTGTTAGTGATGGCTAACTTTAATCGTTGTTGATGAGGAGTCACTCCCTTGTAGGCAAGCTGACATGCTGTGTTTTTGATTTAATGCTCATACATCAGTGTGTTTATAGGCTTCTTTGCTATTTGACCTACGTGTGTTTTATTTGTAACAATAAGATAGAATAGAATATAGTACTGCTACACCACTCTACAGGGCATACTGCGATCTATAGCGATCTTTGGTTTTGACACCAATGTGGAAGTTTCATGTGGTCATTAACTGTCATATATCAGATGTGCTGACATAAAGCAAGAAGGCAATATGATCTGCTTGTATCGTCTTGAGTGAGTGTACAGTTATTAAGGAGGGATGAAAACTGTACCCTCACTGATCTTTACAGATTTTTATCCAAGAGTTACTCAGTTAACCGTTGTTTTCCTCAGCTCCATTCATCCATGTGTAAATATGGAGGTGCTGCATGTGCCCACTGACTGACTCTCTCATCTTCTCTTGTTTCTCTCCTCAGGCCACGGAAGCTGCTCTTCCCCTCATTATTCCACTCTGCATGAGTTTGATGCCACGGCCCTGCCAGGCTGTTTCTTACACGTGGCTTTATTTTATTTTCTTTCTTAACATTCATGTACCCACAAATAGCAGCAATGAAAAATCTGTATCCTTATATTTCCTGGTCAACTGACTGCAAGTGGACCTATGAGCTACCAGCTCTGTGGGCATGACCGCTGCCTGCATGAGGAAAGATGCCGGTCTAAGTTTTTCATAGTTACCCAAAACAAACAAGTGTGTTATGACATAGTTATATCTAGACTCCAATATTAAGCCAGCTGGATGCAGACAGTGCATTCTTGGCTCCAGCACTTTAGTCTTTGTGTGAGAGGGAGTTCCTGCTTGTGGAAGTGACTTTTTCTTCCTACTGTATAAAGAATCTATTACGGATGTACAAATGAATATTTTTATTATTTTATCCTTATGACAAAAATACTGTATTTGTATCCAAGACAAAACTTTGGCAAAAAAAAAAAAAAAAAATTGTGAAAAACCTTCTTGGGGGGCTATGTAGCATACTGTATAAAACAAATTATGTGATTTTTTCAGTCCGTGAAAGGGTGTAGAAAATTTAAGGGCTCCTCATATACTTGCATTTCAAACCATGATAAATGTGTTGAGATAGATCAGAGGTGAGTTATCCTTCCATGATATGAAAGGTTCTTCTAGCAAAAATATGGATTCAAGCCACTCTTAAAATCCCTTAAGAAACCTTTGGTTTTTTCAAGCATATCATGATAGAAGGTTTTACACATTTAAGCACCCATCTAATGTATCTTTGCACAGGCCTGACATGTAGCCAGAGACTTAGAGTTACTTCTCTTCTGTCCATTTGAATGTGAAGTTTAAAGGAAATATTCAAACATAGACTTCTCATTTGACAAAACCATTAACACCACTGCATTTTTGCACAATCTGTATCACTAGTTATATATAGTTATATAAACAGTCAAGACAGTGGGATGCTGCTTTTAATACTTTGTTAAAAAAGATACTCAACTGTCCAGGAGCCGGTCTTTAAAAGGATTTCATTATGATGATGACTGTTTCATTAAATGTATGGTGGGGGTGGTTACTTGAGAATTGAATCTGTTATAGAACCATGAATACCTGCATGAAAACATGCATATTAATTCTCTGGATTGCTAAAAGAACATTAATAACGCTGATTATGGCATTAGATGTAAAATATTTGTCCTCCACACTGGTTGCAGGCAACAGTTTAAAGGTTCATTTAGCGCTAAATATTTTTCTGGGAAACTTCCTGGAGATGAGTTGAATCGTGCAATACTGTACAGAACTGTGAGAACTCACAAAATTGCAATACATGGATGACCATGGGAATGTAGGAAACAGCAACTGTGAGTGGTGGACTGGAAGACACCATAGTAAGATGCACTACAGAAGGACAGTGTTAGCCTGTGAGTGCAAAAGCTACGCTAACTTTTGACACTGAGTCAGACAACAGCCTCAACTTGTAGCTACAGGTTTGGGGGGGCACGCATCAGCTATAAATGAAATCCTGGTCAGACCAAAAGGATTTGAAGCAACTGAACGACAAGCTGACCACTGTCAGAGCGGCACGCTGCTGCTAGCAAGGCTAAAAAATCAGGGCGGCGGTTTTCATTAGCTTTTTGCAAAGGGCTTTTCTCGATGATGATGCTTTTAAATCTTCTGTGTGCACTACTACCTATTATGACTCCAATTACTATGTGTTCATTATCAATATTATAGCTACTGAATTCATAATGCTTTAACTTTGCATCTACATTTGGTACAGTATGATTCTGCAAAAGTTGGAAAAGAAATTCCTCTGACATAGACGTGATTACAATTGAGATTTTTGCATTAAGAGAGGAAAAAAAGTGAAAGCACTGAAAGGATGCATTCATGTTGTGTAGATATACCTAAACATTATATTAAAATTGCTAAATTAGAAAGCTAATGCAAACTGCCCCCTGCTGGTTAAGGTTTTGTGACAGACCTTCCTTTCTTAGTGCATGCTTCGGGAGAAGGGGAAAAAGCAAGCCGTGGTGTAAAACAAGTGAAATTGCACTAAATATCACAGTTGTATGATATTTGAGAGTATACAGTACATTTTAGACATAGCATTTATTCTTGTTCCTCATGATAATATGAGTGTTAATGGGTTTTTTTCAAGGAGTGATGAATACATTCAGTTGCTGTTGTGTTCTCAATTTATTCTGTTTTCCATTTTAACCATTTGCACTGGAAATGAACGGATGTGTGTTCAAATGACATTTATGCTTGTCAGGATTGCAGATAGTATTTCTGTTAACTGAGTGAAAAGATCTCTTCTGTAACAAAGCCTGGCATCCCAAAAGCACATCTGCACTATGTACGGACAGTACAATACATCAGCATATACATAAAAATAAACAAAAAATAGAAAGTAAAACCCTTTCTTGTTTCAACAAACTACACCAGCTGCCAGTAAAGACACACAGGTGACCTTAGTGCTTAGATGCTTTTGAAAGCTGGCCACAACCTGCTGAAAATGTGAATTGTTTTTAATGGTTTTTTGCAAAGACTAAAGTGTATTGTTACAGAGAGTCAAAGAAACTGAACATGTATTCCACCTGTGTATGAATATTTAAGTTGTTAAAACAAATAAAAGTGAAAGAAAGCAGACTAAGAGATATTTTGATGCCTTTCTTTCAATCAGTGTTTTCTGCTTGACTCTGAGAATGCATGTCCTCAGGTAAACAACCGCTATCTAGGGAAGAGATAGCGGTTGTCCAGCTTGGTAACTGTGACTGGGCACAACAGGTCTGTCAAGCTTTAGATTTCTCCAAATTCTGAAGCAGGGTACCTGGGGCTGTAGTAAGAACAATACTCAGTTTGGAAAGTGGTGTTTTTTTGCCTTTGCAAAGAACACAGGGTGTAAAGAATTGATCAAACCCTTGCCAGTAGTTGTAGCCTGTGTTACCAAATCATTAGCTAATTACATTATTATGATGACTCACAGGTTATGTAAGAACTGTCTCTGTTGGAGATGGTGAAACATCAGTCGAGGATTCTACTCACCACGATATCAGAGTTAGGATAATGTTATGTTCTGTCCTGCTGTATTGTAGTTTCCAACCAACTTTGTCAGCTAGCTAGCTATACAGCTAATAAAATCTGCCACACTTTACTTCACTTTAGCCATCCAAACTGACGGTCACATGGGAATATAAAGGATTTATAATAATTGATTATGTTTCCTTATAATGTTGCTAAGTGTGAACATGTATGAATTTAAAAACCAGTGGTCCAAATATCAAGCCTTTCAGAACCCCCAATAAAATATTTGTTTGTAAATCAACAGATTTTAACTAACTGAGTGAAATATGGTAGTCCAGTCCTTTATGACGTGCAATTCTGCACACCTTTCACTTTAATTAAGATGAGTTCAGGCAGGTCTGAAAATCCCGAATTCCCGATTACATACAGTAGATCACAACATATCCCTGATTGCTCATTTATACCTGCTACATTTTTATGTTTATTCAATTTAATAAACACAAAAAAGTATATTTGAAATAAAACTGTTTTGTTCTGACCTTCAGTGCCTTGAAGAGATCTCAAACACCCTCAGAGACTGGGCTGAGGCACGGTGCAGTTTACTCTTCCACTGTCCAACATTCTGAAAGGTGTCATTAATGAAACAGATTATATATTATATTCTGATTTCTTTGTCCATCTTCTTCTGTTTTATTTTCCCTCTCTGTCATTTCTTTTATTCCTTTAATTGCGTTTTCATATTTACATTGCTGTTGCTTTAAACTTTGATGTACAAACCCTTTTTTGATCAGCACTTTACAAATAAAGTTATTATCTTGACATGATGTCTGAGGACATACAACAGAGGCTTAGGTGGGGTCATCTAGAATAACCAGCACACAATGTCTGAAAAAAATGGCTTCACAAAACATCCTTTTCATTTAGGAATGCCAGTTATCTTTTGTCCTCCATGTGGCACAGATAACCAGCACTTCATAAACTGCCAATCTGAACAGTAGTGTGTGCGTTTTTAGAACTGCAATTGTTTGTGCAAGACTTGCAAAACCAGGGACTTGGACTCCTGCCTTTTAATTCTAAATGTTGATGAGCATTTGATTGTAGAGAAAATGTGAACCTAGCTACTGAAGTTTATTCAAAGGTCCAGTATATAACACTTAGGAGGATCTATTGGCAGAAATGGAATATAATCACTTGAATATAGGAATCATTGTGTTTTTCTTACCTTAGAATGAGCCTTTTATATCTACACGCCGCCGGTTGCCTTCCATGGAGTCTGCAAATTGCCATCTTTGTACAGTAGCCCAGGACGGACAAACCAAACGTGTTTCTAAATCACCGTAGTTTCTCCTACACACCTGGAATGGATGTGGTTGGATGGTTGTAATCTGCAATTACATGGCTGGTCTCCACTGGTCTTTTATATGTGGTATGACTTAGGAATCAAATTTTAGGACTCAAATTTACTGGGACTTTATGACAAAGACTTGAGACTTTCTTGTGACTTGCAAAACAATGACTTTGAACAACCTCTGACTGACAGCAATGGCAAAAAGCTGACAGCATACAGTCATTCACACATCTTTGGTGTGCCACAGTTCCATCTGGTAGTTTTGTCTTGTTGATTTCTTTCCAGAAATAATAATGTAGTAATTTAGTATTGTGTGACCATGAGACTCATGACTCAAAAAAACAAAACATATATAGACAGTTCCTGGTGTATTTTTAGAACAAACATTCCTTTCCACTAAATATAAAATGGAAGTGTCAATATTTGGATATGCACAAAGTGTGTGGAAGATGACATACATTAGGCATAACTACTTGTAGTATGAATTATACTGTGGGATCCAACACATTTTAAGGGCTCTATGAGTGCACACAGAGGCACACACACAGAGACGGGAAGTGTAGCTGCTAAAAATATCATCATCTCTCCTCTCAACGTGTGTATCTCTCAGGTTCTCTTTGTTATGTCCCCTCCTTGTTTCATGGTGGTTGAGTTGCTCTCCTCTTCAGTTACGCCTCTGATGTAGCACATATTCCATTTGTGAGTCCTCCAAATTAGATTTCAGCCCTTTTAACCATCACCATCAACCTGAGAGTGTTAGTGGTGAAATTTAAAACGATGAGGTCAGAGCAAATGTTGCTTTCTCTGATTACTGGCACGTCAGGTATGAAGCAAGATGCATGCAGCTTCCCACAATAAAGTTACACCGAATATCACTGTGAAAAGTTATATTTTTCCTTTTATTGTTCTTTGTCAATGTATAAATGAATCAGTGAATTTTTAGCTGTGGCATTTGTCTTGTTTTTAATGCTTCTAACCCTTTTGTTGTACTTGCTGCTGCTCTTTAATGTTTTTATCAAATCAACCTTTCCTGGGGTCAGCCCCATTAGCTGTTGTTATTGCTGCTGTTTATAATTACTACTCTTAGAGGCGTTTTATTAATCCTACAATTATGTATTGCCATTCATGTTTGCCTCACTGAATGATTCCCACAACAAAGCCTTTGTTCTGTTCTAGCACCTAAATATTTCAAATTGCACGAGTTTGTTGGAGTCTGTTCAGCAGCAGTGTGGCAAATATTTAAACAGTGTGACCTGAAGATGGTTTTAGCTGTGCTGTGTTGTCTGAGGAGGACCTGCTATGGGTCCAATGCCTATTATTCCAAAACCAAAATAGTCTGACAAATTTGCCATTGGAACAAAAGCCCATATGTCCGATAGCCCGTTCTTCTAAAAACAAAAGCCCAGTGCTCCAAAGGCCCGTTTTTCTGAAGATACACCCTCTCCCTGGAGGTTTTTGTCCTTAAGATCTTAGTGTATTTAAACGTGCAGGAATGGGCAAAGTCAGGTGACCCTCTTTATCATGATAACAATAATAAACACATGGTTAACTTTATGAAACCGCCACAGTTTGGTTAGGTTCAGGCACCAAAACTACTTGGTTTAGGAAAAGATTATGGTTTGGATTAAAAAAAGGTATGTTAGTAATGCCCGTTACATAAATTAATGTGTGTGAGTGTGTATTTTTGGAACAATAAACCTTCGGAGCAATAGCCGCTTGTTTTGGGAATAATGGGCCGTCGGAACAAGGGCATGGCACCATTTGGAGATATCATACCTGAGCAGTTTAGGCTGTTACAGTCTGCTGGGTCTGCTGAATATCCTGGTTGTACACAAGGATTTTATGTATTTCATTTCCATATTTCTTTGTGTTACAGTTGCAGTTTTATGTAACCTGCATGTTGTAGATTTATCACATTCAGTTTTTTGAGACACATATCAAAGTTGTGGTTGATACTAAACAGGTAACCTAAGGGATGAGTTCCTATTAGGTCATACATCTCTGGTTCCCAGAAAAAGGTCCCAATAAAATCTGGTCTGTAGATTTGGGATTATTTTTCTTCACTGTTCTTTTTGAAGGGCAGCTTTACCTTCATGTGACCTCTGTGCATCTTATTTATGATCAGACAAGTTCTTGCCAAGCCCAAAGTGCAAATGGGGATATCTGTTTACCAATATTAAAGCAGCGCTGTATATGAAGAGTTATTATTAGACCTTTAGAAAAGCTTTTTAGCTTTAAGAAAAATATTTTTGAAACTACAGTCAAGTGGGAATAATCCTCATATCTAAAATCTTTTCTTTCTTACTGAGTAACTCTCTCCTGGCCTCCTTTGTCTTTCCTCTCCTCTCTACTGTTTATCCCTCCCTTCTCCTCTTTTCCTCTCTCCTGCTGTCTTCCGTTCTCCTCTACTCTTCATGTACAGATTAGATTTTTTTACTCTTCTTGCCTCCACATCCATCGCCGCTCTGTTTTCTGTGCCAACCTTTCTTCTCCTGCCCCCTCTGCCACCCTCTTCCTTCACTGCTCTCTTCTTCATCACTGTGAATCAGCTGCCCTCCCCATTTGGGCATTTTCCCTCCATTTCTTCCTCTCCCATTATCGTGCACCTTATTTCCTCTCTTACCTCCTCCACCTTTCACTGTGCTCGCTTCATTCGGCAACTCTTCCTCACTCACTACACAATCTCTTTTACACCCTGTCCTCTGATTCTTCCTCTTCTTCTCCTTCTCCTCACCTCCTCCCTCGTCCTCCTTCTTCCTCCCTCCCTCCTCCACACTGCTGCATTATTCAGACTGAGTGCTGTTTGGAATGGCTTGTGTTGTCCCTGAGTACCTCTCCTCTCATCGCGCTCCATGAAGCATCACGCTGGAGTTTAACCCCTCCCTGCAAACCCCCTGACTGCACCAGACACACACAAAACACACATATATACACAAACATGCCAGGTCAGGTCACACCATGGCACACACTCATACACCCATCGCCAAACTCGTGAATTCGAATACATACAGTCAGGTGTTTTCATGCACATACCGAGATGAATGTAAAGAAGTTCTCGCAATTGTCCTGTCACACAAGCTCCTACTTTTGTCTTTCTCCCTCAAATACCGTCCAGGGGTCCTCAGAGATCACTTAAGCAGCAGCTGCAGGCAGATGCACAGCCAGACTACAACAGAACAAGGCGTCTTTTATTCATAACTACTAGCAGCGCCAAGCTGAAGCACTTCAACTGCTGGCGCCACAGCCTCACAACACAGAGCAGGGACAAGGTTCTGAA